TGTTCCCAAGAAGAGCCTGATCTTCAGAATTATGATCACCTCCACCGACATCATCCCCACAGATATCCTTCCTGTCCCTCTCCCTCTCCCTCTCCCTCTCACCTCTCTCCATCTCCCTCTCCTGCCTCTCAGCCTCCTTCTCAGCCATGTTCCCAAGAAGAGCCTGACCTGCAGAATTATCACCTCCAGGAGGCGACGCTACCGACGGTCGGGAGGGGGAGGAGGACGACGCCGACGGTGTGGAGCTGGTGGGCTCCTTGATTGTCCTGTATCCTAGGGCTTGGGCTTCGATTCCTGCGTCGACGGAAGATTCTGCAGCTGAGTGTGCCGACCGGTTAACTTCGGGAGGAGTCGACGCCGCCGATGGTCGGGAGGGGTCCATCTGCAACAGTAAAACTAATGGGGTAGTAAATACAATGCAATGATGCTACAGGGGGCCTATCCGCAGTCATCTCTAAATTTTACAACACGAGATCACTCATCAACTCTCTGAAGAATGATCCTCCATATCACCTCAAGAGGCAACGCCATACAAAACATCAAGAATGGACTAATAATACCAAGAGGCATTTCTGACCTTCAGTTAAATTAAGCATCCAAATTATTTTTTTGGGTGGTACCAATAATAGTACATTACAAAAAGAAAGTAGTTCAAAAAGCGAAAAAAATAACAAAAAAGAACTGGACAGATGACTTGCTGACTCTGTTGTGCTCTAACCCAACAAAATCTGGGCAGGCAGGATGAGCCCCGAGATACAAATTGTTCAAAGAAGAAAAAAAGAAAAGCTTTGAATTTAGGAACCTGACATATAGCGATTATTGGTCAAGAGATGTGGAGGATTTCTAGGGACTTTTGCTACACCTTCTCTGTACTGGCGGTAGCTTATTCAGTATAAACATGAGGATTCTTTCAAGAATATATCAGCTTGAACTAGAACTTGATGCGGGTACAAACCCGCCCTTTGAAAACATTGATCCAATAGAACCACTGGGTGTGGTTTCAGTTGACGGAATTCTGGAGGGAAAAGAATTGAATTCTGGACGTAGATCTGAAGATGATGATAATGGAGCTAAGGTGGCCAATGAATAGCCTACAGGGTAAGGAGCTACGGGCATGTCGGCAAGAGAAGATGCAGAAGGGCTGTAGCTAAGCATCCCCATCGGGTGATCGAATTTGCATGTTGGCCCGAATTTGCATACTCCGTGTTGAGCATAGAAGGCACAAGGCTGAGCTCCCTGTAAACAGGAAGAAATGTTTAGTAAGTTGACGTCTCTCGTTTGAAGAAGCAGAAAATTCTCTTGATTTTTCAACATCATAATGCAAGTTCAATGAAAGAAAATATTGATAATCACGCAGACGGTAGTTTCTCAAGACATCTTATGCACAAGCTTACTAAACAAGAATGTACACGTTCAAGCTTTTGATGGTATACAAATTAATTATAAACTAACAAGGATCCGAAACTAAAACTGCATTTAAAGATACTAACGATCTAGACAGCATGAGAACAAGATCACATATTGTCAAATGCTTATCGAATAACAGCCATCACACACCAGCAGTGCAACATGCATATGCATGTATGCATATTCGCAAAGGCACGTACAAAGATGCATGTACTCATTCAGAATTTAACTGGACTTAATCTGTGCCTCCTTTTAATGTCAGGTTGTTAGTTATAAATAGCTCAGGCTTTAAGTTTCGCCTCTTTAACATGAGGGTAAGTTTCACAAACCCCCCCCCCCCACCCCCACCCC